TGAAAATCTTTTTCCTTTTTCCTTTCATGAAAACCTCTCACTTTTCCTTTCATGAAAACCTTTTTCCCTTTTCTCTTTATCAAAATCATGAATATAAAATCCTCTTTCATGATAATGATGTGCATGAGTATATACACTTGAATAAAATGCATTTCAATAAATATGACCTCAATATGCATACCATTACATCCTCGAGAACATGTATAACATTGTAAATCATTCACATGTTCCAAATAATTAAGTGTACATGCTACATGAAACATACCTTGCACATTCCATAAAAATAATGAATATTATTTCAAACCAAACGAACAAGCATCATGGTCAATCAATTTTCACATAAACATAGTCATTCCCATTCCTTTTAATCCTCTAAACCTCATAATTAACCTTTTACCTCTTTGTCCTTGTTTTTCATACTTAGCCAAATTCAAGCTAAGTGAAGAACAACCTTTATTCCTTTTATCTAGCCTTAAGGATTTCCTCTAGGACATTTCATCAAACATTTGCTAGGCAATAGATAAGGAAATTACCAATTTATGCCTACTTAGGGGTTGTTCACCCACCTTATTAATGTAACAAGGACTACATCCAACATAAACATTCATATCAATTCAAGCATTCAACATCATTTTTTCTCACATCATGCACAAATAAGGAATAACAAACCAATCTAATTCAATCGTAAACATACAATTCTCAACAATCCCAATTACAATTCCTTCATCAAGTAAACCCTAAATTAACACCCAATTACACCTTAAACATCAAGTTTGTATGGTGTAGTTGAGGAATTATACTTACCTCACTTAGAATTTTGGCCTTTTTCCTTCATTTCCTCCTTGGCTTTTTCCTTCTCCTTCCTTCCAAATTTTAGCCAAATTGGAGAAATTCTTCCTTTCTCCTTGCTTGATCTTCTAAGATGATTTGGAGACTAATTTAAGGTGTCTCTAGGTAGATTAAACCGATCGAAAGTTGTGGATTTGTATGGTTGAAGTTTCCCTCTTTCAAATTAGGTTTTTTCTCTCTTTTCTTTCCTCTTTCTTTCTCTCTTTTCTCTCTCCCTATTTTCCTCTCTTTGAAAATCTGAAAATCCAGATTTTTCTACTACTTTTGCCCCTTTAGTTCAACTCGGGGGTCCCTTATATTATAAGCACTTTATACCTTAGTCCTCTAACTTTCAATCCTTATAATTTGACCATACAATTTCATTCCATAACTCCACATTTTTTGTCAATTTATCTCTCATCTATTCCAATCCTAAAGTTAATTCAAGTCCCTAAAAACACTTAATCCTTATGATTATACCCTTATATTTTCCAATTACACCTCTATGAAAATGCATAACCATATCAATTAAGGGTGTCATGTCCTTATCGAACCTTCCCTCATTTCATAAACTCATTCCATTAATTTTACTTATGTTTCTTTTATCCTTAATTGAACTTCAACCTTACTCAATTATTTAATAAACATATCTTTTATTAATTAAATAAAATATTCATACATCATAATTACATTTCTAGGAGAGTTTTTGATCACGGGTATTATAGTTTGGCAATGCCAAACAAGTCTTTCATTCTTTTAATTTTTTGTAATTACATCCCTTTGTTCCTTGATTTTGGTTTCTTTTTTTAATTATGTTCAATTGCAACCCTATTTCCTTCAATTTTAGTTTCTATTTTTGTTCAATTGAATCCTTATTTCCTTCAATTTTAGTTTCTATTTTTTCTTCAATTGCATCCCTTCATCTTTTCATTTCAGTTTCTATTTTTAATTTTTTTCAATTACACCCCTATGTCTTTTGATTTTTGTTTCGTTTTTGTTTAATTGCACCTCTATGTCGGTTGATTTCAATTTTTGTTCTTTTATTTTTATTAAATTGCACCCTCGATTTTATTTTCTTAACAATTAATCATATTTTTTCTTTTTCTTTTCTTTTTTTCTCTCTCTTTTTTTTTTGATATTTTTATTTTTATGATAATGTAATAAAACAAGAATAATGTTAACCTATTTTTTATGTTTGTTTTTCTCTTTTTTTATCATTGATTTTTGTGATAAAATAAAGGATGAATTATACTAAAAATATAAAAATTTTAAGTATTACCAAAACTAATAATAATAATAATAATAATAATAATAATAATAATAATAAATGTACACCTATAAAATCTATAAAAACTTGAAAAAAAAATTATGAAATAAATAAATAAAAGTAGGGCAAATTTTGGTTATGACTCTAAGATCTACTACCAAAGGTGATTGCCTTTGTAGGTTTGAACTCATATGCCAAAAACACACAATGATTTTGGCTCTTAAATTTTATGTGCATGGTATCTATCATGTTGTATTTACTAATTTTTGTTGACTTCAAGTAGAGTTTGATATGGTTATGGTTGCTTTTCAATGAGGATTCTTGGTACATTTAGCAATCCGTCAAATACCCTAAAGTTTATGTGCTTAGTTACACACACACACTTATTTTCATCTCGTTTCCTATTTGTCACCCCTTTGCAATATACAATTGTGTTCTCCTTTGTTGTATTCATTCACTTTCTTACTTATATCAGAATAATTTTATCTATACTTGTTAGCCTATGTGAATCATATTCTTATATTTTGTTTTTTTTTTTTGTTCATTAAATTCTAGGTCGGCAATGCTCTTATACGGTTGTATCAAAATTTTATCACCAAATTTGAGATAAAGATCAACCTTCTCAAGCTTGCACACTTTGCTATTATAGTTTCTCGATGTGATGCACAAAAAGAAACTGCCATTAGCTACTTTGAAGGGGTGATTGAAAAAAAAAATCTTTTGTTATGCCTAAAATATTTTCGAGTGCTTATGGGTTGTTTGTTTAGCTTAAAAAAGTCCTACATTTTAGATGTATCTTGAACGATTTTTTTTTCTTTACCTTCCTTAATTTCCCTTATGTATTTGTTTAAAAAAAAAAAAAAAAGGAGTGATGTGTTTGATTGCATATCTTTTTTAATTTCTCGAGTGCCTCATCGGTATTTAGTTCAACCCATCCATTACCTTTCAATTGTGACAAGTAGTAATGAATTAAAAAAATTACATTTTTACATTGGCGATGGATCAACAACTAGCTAATGATGAAAAAAATAATTAAATTATATCAACTATCGACGACTTATCAACCAAATAGAGATAGATTAGCTACAAAAAATCACCGATGAAAATTTTATCATATTAGTGACGACTTCATTATAGCAATGACTTGTTCGTCGCTAATTTGGTGACAGAATGACGAATTTTGTTGCCAAAATTATTAGTGAGAAGCATTTTATCAATGGATTGATTTCGTCTCTAGTCCATTGCTAAAAGAAACTAATGATGAAATATATAGATTTAGTGACCAAAAACATCCATCAATGAAGGTTCGGTTTTTTGTATTGTTCAACCTAGGATAAGTTTTACGGAGAGAAAGAAAAGAAGGACATAGGAGAAGATCTTTACCTTTTAAAGCTCCCACAGGTAGAACTTGACGACGTAATAGGGAGGAAGTTTCAAGGATAAACTATTTTTCCTTTCCCACTTATAAAGAAGAGAGGGTTGCCAAAGTTTGAGAGAAGAACAAAAAAAGGAACGATAGATTTTCTCTTTTTTTCAAAAAAATGAAAAAAGAAACAAACAAAAAAAGAGCTTCAAAACCCAAAAATCCCTTCCTCTTTTTTGTTATTAGTTGAAAAGCAAAGAAGATATCTTTCCTGTGGTTCCTCCTTCTTTTTTTTTTTTTTTTTTTTTTTTGTTTTCGTCCGTCCTAAACCCAAGCTTTTGTTTTTCTTTCAAAGCCGTAAAAATGAAAACCCCCTTCTTATTGCTATTTTTTTCCCGTTTATATATCCCTCCTAAACTTTTAATTCCGAACCTTAGATCCTCTCCACATCAATCTCAACTCCTCTTTTTTAGTGTACCAGGCCACTCCCTTTTTTTGTTTTTCTTTTTTCCATGGCTACTTATCCATACATCCCCTATTTTGTTGTTTGCGGTACCTCTTTACTCGTATTTCAATGACAAAGGCAAGAATTGTTTCGTCCGAAGTGAGAATGCGTGAGTGAGAGAAAGAAAATGATCCCTTTTTGTCGTTTTGGTGGCCTACAATTTAAGAAGAAAAGAAAGGAATGAGACTCGGGGAAGAAATAAGGAAGAACATAAACAATACCATGCAGAGTGCTAAAGCAATGTCGTTTTGTAAAAGATTTAAGTTGATCCTCCTTTTTTTAAATGTTACGCAATTATATCCTATGTACTTTGATTTCTCTTTAATTACAATCCTTATTCGTCTTAAATTCATTTGATAATGCCCATTTCCAATTGCTTTTCTCAAAATTTTGAAAATAAAAATTGTAAAAAAATCTAAATAATTATGAAGGGTCAAATAGAGTTATGACAAACCACAACAAACATTTTTAAAAGTTTTTTTTTTTTGATAGGATCGTTGAACGAATCGGATAATTCAATAACTTATCCCTGAACTTTCTCTTTTACAATGATGTCCTCATCTTCAATCTCAATATCATTTAGAGATTGCTATTCAAAAGCCTATATCATAACGAGTTTTTTTTTTTTAACTGTTAGTGGCTTCTTTTTATAATTCAGATAACTCTTAGATAAATGTATTTCAAACCACATAGAAAAGAGATGTCGTTAATCTTTTTATCTTAACTTTTTTTAATGGTACTATCAGAATTTTCTAATATTTCCAACTTTCTAGTAGAAAGAAAATTTTGAGAGCAAGAACCGAGCAATTTTTGATGTCTCAAACAAAGGTTGTTTTTTTTTTTTTTTTTCAGGAGAGAAAGCAATATCCACTTGGCACGGGAATTTGACGCTCCAAAACGCCCGCGTAGCCGTTGATATTATTACCACCATTTGGATAAGAGAGAGAGAGAGAGATAGAAAAAGGACTACTGAGTTCTGCATCTTTAGAGAGAGAAAAGGGAAAGTGAGGGAGGGAGAGAGGGAGAGAGAGGAAACTATGGCCACTTTAACTTCTCCAACAGCAACATTCACAACTAACACACGTTGTCTTCAAAGACCGCAGAATTCCCACTCTCCTTCTCAACAGCCTCGTTTAGTACCAAGACCAGAACTGAACCGCAGACATTTCATATCTCAAACAGCTTCGCTTTCATCACTTCCTTTACTTTCTCCCCTCATTCTTAGTCCACAACAAGCCAATGCTGCAGCTGAAGATTCTCTTTCCGAGTGGGAAAGAGTTTACCTTCCCATTGATCCTGGTGTTGTCCTCCTTGACATTGCCTTTGTTCCTGATGACATGAACCATGGTAAGTGATTTCGTCAACTGAAAATATTCAGTCCTCTTGCTGTCCGACATTGCAAAACACCTTCTTCTTCTTCTTTTCCCCTCATTTACCACTTATTATAATAAATTACCTTTTTTTGGCGGATATTATGCGAGAGTGAGAGGTGGTTTATGTGTGTGTGTGTGTGTATTAGATGAATGTTTTGAAGACTTTGGTCTGAACATAATTGGATATTCGTTGGAACAATGAAGCTTATGTAGAATCGTTTTGGTTGAATTAAATTGGCTTTCGTTGGGTACATGAATTTGAAGACATGTTTGGTTTGTAGGTTTCTTGTTGGGGACAAGGCAGACAATCATGGAAACTAAAGATGGTGGAAATACTTGGGTCCCGCGGTCAATACCTTCAGCTGAAGATGAGGATTTTAACTATCGGTTTAATTCGATTAGTTTTAAGGGGAAGGAAGGGTGGATTGTTGGGAAGCCAGCAATTTTGTTGTACACAGCAGATGCTGGAGCAACATGGGAGAGGATACCATTAAGTGCTCAACTCCCTGGTGATATGGTAATCTTGTAGTAGTATTTTTCAATTTGTGATTTTTTGTTGGCAGGAATTATAGTGCTTGAGTTAATTCTCAGGGGATATGAGCGACAAGAGGATCTTTTTTATGGAGGAGTTTGAATTTTGCAGGCTCGCAAATATTTTTCCCCGTTTTTTGTTGTTCCATGTGAAAATGAAAAGGGAAAAGTGGTTGATTCCCTTCCAACATTTGCAGGTCTATATAAAGGCAACTGGAGAAAAGAGTGCAGAGATGGTGACTGACGAAGGTGCAATATATGTCACATCAAATAGGGGTTATAACTGGAGGGCTGCAGTTCAGGAGACTGTTTCGGCAACTCTTAACAGGTTGGTTTGCTTGTGCTAAAAAGCGAATGTAATAATTGCTATATAGTGTATAAGGAGTGTTTGCTTAGTGTAGGAAACAGTTGAATTTGTAGGTAAAGAAGTTAAATTCTGAAAATGTGATCCAATAAAGGATCGTTTTTTCAAGTTTATCATAAGAGCCATCTTTCACAGAATTACTTTGTTTCCTCTCAAAAAAGCTAAGAATTTTATTCTCTATCGAGTCAAGATCCTGTGAATTCTTTTCGACCAAAAGTTTTTAACTTCAAGTGGGCTAGATATTCACATGGCTTCTTGCTTTTGCAGAACAGTTTCAAGTGGTATTAGCGGTGCAAGTTACTATACTGGAACTTTTAATACCGTGAATCGCTCTCCAGATGGAAACTATGTTGCTGTCTCAAGTCGTGGTAACTTCTACCTCACATGGGAGCCTGGTCAGGTCAAGCTCTTTGTCTTGTTGCTGTCTAGCTTTTTGCATGTGTACATCTGTAGCTTACTCATTGGCTTCATGGGGCATGCCTGCTAATAAACTTTTGTAGTGCTCGTGTGTGTGGATGCAAGCACGAGTGTCCATTTGTTTTCCTTTTACTTCTCCTATTTGTGCTTGTTCATGTAATGATTGCTAACATGTATGTACAATTTATTAACTGCAATGCATTACTTTCCACTATTTTCAGGCATTCTGGCAGCCGCATAACAGAGCAATTGCAAGAAGAATTCAAAACATGGGATGGAGGGCGGATGGTGGGCTCTGGCTTCTTGTTCGTGGAGGGGGGCTTTATCTTAGCAAAGGAACTGGGGTAAGTTGATTGGAAGAACATGAAGAAATTCCTATAATGTGCATATCATGATCCTGAATCAGTGAATTGTTTTCATAATAATGAGATGCAAAGTTTATACATCAACATTAATTGTTGCACTCATCCAAACTAGCATATCAACAGTACCAGTGACTTGCATCCAACTAGAAAAGTCCTCATTGATCGAAAAACACCTGATTGCTCATTCCTGTGTGAATCTGAACTTCTGCTATTTAGAAGCGAAGCTTATGCTTTCAGTGGATTTGCCTGATATAGTTTGTATACTGACTTTTGATACACAAAGTTCTAGATAAACAAAGCATCATCTGAAAACATATAGAATTACTCTAGGAATAATAACACATGGATGTCTCATGATCGCTGGTCTTTTTAGTTTCACCTATTTTTTATTGTTGCATTCTACTTCACTTATTTATTTATTGTACGCCTTTATAGTGTTTCCAGTTGTATAATCTGCGTTTGCTCTTTTCATGTCATGTCTTTTTCGATGTAGATTCCTGTCAGCTTACAAGCATTGGTCAATTGGTTATAGAATAGGACTGGACTGGTTTTCCTTTATTGGTGTTGAAGCACAGCTACTTTTTGATGTTTCAGATATCAGAGGAGTTTGAAGAAATTCCAGTGCAAAGTAGGGGGTTTGGCATTCTTGATGTTGGGTACCGTTCAAAGGTAACAGTTTTGTGATTAATGCAAGGTTGTAACTGCTACAGAGTTAGTTCCATTATGATGGTGTGTGTGGATAACTGGTTCACCTCATGTACTTTTAGGTGGAGTTCTGCATTATAACATGCGTCGCTCAACAAAACCATGCTTGTCCTATACGTCATGCATATTCAACTTTATTCCCACATCCATCTGCACTTTATATCTCTATGTACATGTTTGCTATTGAATGTATAAGTGGTGGCTTCAACACATGCTATAAGAATAGCCCATCGCTTGATCAGTTACATTTTCCATAAAGAAAACTGAGAAAACACAAAGTAACAGATCCAGAAGATAATAAATCAATATCATTATTAAATTAACAGTCCAATGCAGTATAATTACAGCCTCCATGGAATTCTGATGACGTCTGCATTTTGAATGAAATGCCTAGTTTTTATATAGGCCTTTCCTACTTCTTTCCGAGTTTCTACATTTCATACTGTAAATGGTTTGTTTGTGCAGGAAGAGGCTTGGGCAGCAGGGGGCAGTGGGATTCTGTTGAGAACTACCAATGGTGGCAAGACATGGACCCGTGACAAAGCAGCTGACAATATTGCTGCAAATCTTTACTCAGTGAAGTGAGTCTCGTTATATGAGCTGCAAGTTTAGATTACTTCCGAAATTGATTAACAGGTTTACAAATGCAATGCATGTCTTTTTCTGGTCTTTGATTGCACCCTACAGCTTTCATACTTCATTTTTAACTCTGATTTGAAATGCGCCTTTTATTGAGCATGAAAATGAACATTACTGATAATGCTTTTACCTGTTTAACTTTGCACTCCGAGGCAGTCACATTACTCACAAGCTATTCATTCACATTACTCACAAGCTATTCATTCCTATCTTTTTTCTGCAGGTTTATTGATGACAAGAAAGGATTTGTTCTGGGAAATGATGGAGTCTTGCTTCGGTATCTTGGATAAAGACATTGCTTTCTCGTGGTAATTGAAGGATTCTCCCTTTCCTCTCAAGTTTCCGTTTGTTTACTTTAACAGTTTTATTGAGGGTGTGTAAAAATGAAAATGTAAAACTGAGTAGTCTTCCGCAAATTTGATGGCTATTTTTGGCTGTGCAAAAATCTAGGAGAAGTGCTTTCCAAATGGCTGAATCAAATTCCTGAATTCATCTGTTCACAGGTTTCTCAATGATGCTGCAATTTTGTATGCGTAAAGTACTTGGTGCTGTAAAGAGAGGAACAAAGTTTCATGTTGCATGTAGTTTTCCATGTAACTATTATATGTGAATTGCTGCTACATTATTTCATTACAAATGGAGTTGTTCTTCGAAGTAAAGTTTGCACAAAGACAAATTTGAGCTTGCAATAGGATATAGTATATGGAGAAGGATTCAAATTTCTATTTCATTTGTATGCTCAACTCATGCTTGCCCCAACTAATAGAGACAGGAAGCCCTTTCATGATAAAACATACGTGACACTCTTCAACCTGAATATTAATATATCAATGGTATCTACTACTGTCAATTGTGTGGGCGACAAAACAGCAGCTAACATTATGGCCACACTGAATCTTCATGGATAGAGCCTATAATAAAAGGCCAGTTTATGTGATGGAGATTCTGAAATCTCTCTTTACTCGCTGCATTATATAATGTTTAGGAAATGCTAAGCATAGGGTGAAGTTACAAAAGCAAAACTAAGGCTTAAGGAAAGAAAAGAAAAAGAGAGACAGATACAACGATAAAAGAGAGTCAGCTACATGCAACATACATTTCAAAAGAGGAAAGAAAAAGAAGAAAGTAAATGCAACCTAAGCATAAATAAGTTTCTTTGTGGGGCTACTGTAGGACAAATTGACCAGGAGTAATTAATAATAGTTATAAATTTTAAAAAGAAAGACAGATATAATCACGTTGGGATTAGACTTGATTAGAATAGTTAAAGAGGATATTCATATGATTAAAATTTAAGATTTCTACATAATATTTCAAATTCAAAAAGAAAAAAAGGATTAGAAAAACTCATATTTATGTAGCTTAGGAAAATTAGAGGTAGAGCAGAAAATATATATTTTATTTATGTACCTTAAATGAAAATTAGAAAAACTAAACCAAGATTTGATTGATCCTAACAATGAAATCCTTTCAAAAAGAAACACAAAAGAGCAGACCCAACTATTGCAGTGGGCCATATGGTTGACCCAATAGAGATTGCTCTGGCGTTCTACTATATATCTGAGTTGGCCCATCACTATTTAACTATAAAATTTTGGCCTTCCCCTGTTTCACTACAAGAGAAAATATATATCTATATACGGAAACAAACTTTATCCACTTCTCCCCTCTCGAGTCTCAAATAAAAAGAAGAAAACACAAATGAGCCTGAGAAATCTAAAGGAATGGACCATTATTGCCAAAGAAGCATTCAACGGATCCTTCTTCGTAGCAAAAGCTCTCTGCTTTCTCCATGTAACCAACACCTATGTCTTATCTGTTGTTTCTGTAAGTATAAAGAAGCATAAAGTAACGATTTTTATTTGTTTCTTTACGTATTTAAGCATTGTTTTGGTCTGTTGTAGCTCTATGGACCAAGTATGCTCCCTATCTTTAACATTACTGGTGATTTGGCATTGGCTGAGAGGATTTCACACAAGTTTGGCAAAGTAGGTGCTGGAGATATTGTTCTTGTAACATCACCTCTGGAGCCAAGAAAAATTGTGACTAAAAGAATTATAGGTGTTGAGGGTGATTCTGTCACTTATGTTGTTGACCCCAATAACAGTGATCGAACTCAGACTATTGTGGTATGTGTTGTTTCTTTGTTGGGTATTTAAAAATTTTGCCTTTTGTGTTGTTAAAGCTTAGTTTGATGTCTTTTTCTTTTTTTTTTTTTTTTTTTTTTTTCTGGTTAATGGATTTTTAGTGATTCCGCCTTTTGTGGATTTATGATGTTTTGCTTAATGGGTTTTGGAGAGTGTAGTTTGATTAGTTAATATTTGATGTTTTTGCTTGTTGGATTTGTGGATTATTGCTATTTGGTTATAAAAATTGTTGATTGTTAGCTTACGAAATGAAAATGTTTGTTCTTTTTGTTTAGGTTCCTAAGGGGCATATTTGGGTGGAGGGAGATAACATATATAGCAGCAAGGATTCAAGAAACTTTGGGGCAGTTCCTTATGGCCTTCTTCAAGGGAAAATGTTTTGGAAGGTAGGCCTATTTTCTTCCTTGGCGTACTTTATTGAATTTGGAGAGTTTCTTTATCTTTCATAGAGCTTGTTTGTTCCGGTTTTGCTATGAGGAAGATGTGAGCGATCAACGGTAATGTTCAAATCATGTTAAAAATAGCCATTTTGAAGTAGCTGCCTTTAGTTACTACTTACCAGTGATCTTTCCTCTGCCAGTTGAGGGAGATTATTTGTTTTTTTAGTTCAGCTCTTTTTGAGGAATTTTGAGGTGTAGGATTAAGACAATGTGCGAACTGATGTTTTCCAAGGCATAGGAATAGACTGAAAATGATCTTGTATGTTGCACTAGTACACAATGGATTATGAGGAAAATGTTTATAATAATTCAGGCTGGTTAATTAGAAACTGGTAAGTAGGGGAAAGATTCTATTAAGTAATATGAACCAATGTTATTGTAGAAAATGTCAGTAGGGAACTTCAAAATATGTTTTACTGACCCTCTTGGAAGAGAGATGTAGAATAAAGGAAGCCATTTAAGATGAGGCTGCATTTACTGCCAAGAGTGATTGACATGGCAGTCCAAGAAGTAGATACTGGGCTTAGTTCAGCTTTGCAAAGAATGATGTGATACTGGTTACAACCAATATGCTATATGACAACAAATCATTCCTGGACTGTCTTAGTAATCTTCAGGAGGAATTGTCGGTTTTATTATAACTTTAATGGCGCTGGACTGTGGAGAAAATGCATTATCAAACCATGGTTGCTCAAGAATTTATCGCTTTCTAGCTTGACCTCCTCAAGCAGTCTGCCCTATTCAATAGGCATTGTGATGTAACAAGTATGTGTTAGTTGACATCTAGTAAAATCATTTGAGTGGACTCTGTAGATTAAGATTAATGAAAATGTTGAAGAAATGTGGACAAATTCAACCTTGACTAGTTGCAATAACCAAGTGGTGTGATTGGAATGATCATCAAAGGTCAGCTTGACTTCATGAGCAGCTGGACCACTGATTTAGATTCTACTACTATTTTACATATTATGATCTACTGGTTGTGATAGGAAAAAGACCAAGTATACTCTTATTCTGATCTGACGGTGATGTTTTTTTGCTCCTTTCGTAAATGCTGGACAATTATTTTTCAGAAAAGCTCATCTTCTTGCACAGGAATTCATGGTTTTGTCTGTGCTAATTTTGTTTCTAGATATGGCCACCTAAAGATTTCGGATCACTTGGAAAAAAGAGCAAAATAACTGAATGAATGTCGCAAGGTACGTGTTTTGAGACAGCATGCACCTTCTCTGTCACCCTTAACAAACTGTTTTTTCTCTCTTTTATAATGTAATATGTTTTAGGTCTTTCATTTGTAGTCGCTCAAAGTCTGAGTTGACTGGTGTGCTGAGATCAAGTATGAGTATGAATAAAGGGAACCCAATTTGCTCACTTCTAATTAGTTCTCAAGACAGGCAGGTGCCCTACTGCATCTTGGGGGGCTTACAATAGCAAAGGTTGAAGATGTGCTGGATGCATGGTAGTCTTTTAAGAGTGGCTGGTGCATTCCTTCCTCTGGATGATCACTAAGCCTAAATTAACACACTATGATGTTAACGATGACTTGCAAGTGTCTGGAACTTCCATTGAAACTCCATTTTTGTTTCATGATTGGGGTTCTTTTCATCCAAAACAATCTGAAGCTTGCATTGGAAATCCAAAATTTTCTACTGTCGGATATAGATCATGAATACAGCCATTACTGATTGATAGAATTTTGGACTTGTTAGTGCAACTCAACTGGCAAAGTTATTGCAAGTCATACTTTATTCTGGTTTGGTTAGACAATTGAAAACAATTGTCTTTTATGGCTTTAAATGCTAAGGTTTGGGGCAAGTTTTGCAAAGCATATGTACCTTTTCTAACAAATGGGAAGAATTATGTTCAAAATTTTGTGTTTTGCAATGCTCTGAACCGCATATATGCTTCTATCCATTTATGGATGGATGCCCTTAAAGAACCAGAAGCCTTGTTGGTTTGTTTGCAGGCGACAGTCCAATCTCTCTTAATTCAGGGCTCATGTGTTTTCGGCTTAACATATTATTTTGTTGCTTTGGGCTATTGTCCCCGCGTGCTGAACACCTAAAGAAAGCACCCAATTGTTGAGAAACACTGATTTTTCAAATGAAAATTAAGGCTTTTCATTAAACTTAGAGAACAACCATCATCATCATCATCATTATTATTGGTAGATTAGGCTACCATATTTGGTAAGTTCTGATTTTTACATTAGGCTTTTCTCTAGAAATTTCCATCTCACCCTGTTTCTCTTGAAGATCTTCCTCCGTATTTCCATTCCGAAAGGAGTGTCAAGGAGTTTTCCTTGACCTACCATTATTCATCACCAGTAGGAGCATTGCAAATCTTAAGCAGTACTCTTCCCTAGGCATAGTGGTACAACAGTTGAGCATTACTTAGTTGACATCTAGTAAGATCATTAGCCTGAGCTCTGTGGATTGGAATTTCATGAGACTGCTGAAGAAAATAGCCTGGTAAAGTTGATCGAGTGATTATGACTCCCGAACTGCCTTCGTGAGCAGTTGGACCACTAATTCACATGTTTTAACAATAATTTAGTTATTATTACAATTCATTAATTGTGATAGGAAAGGGACCAAGTATCGTCTCAAATTAGTGAGCTAACATCTGCCAAAGGATCTACCTAAATTTTTTATTTTTTGAAGAACTTCAACCACTCCGTTTATGGAATACATTAATAAGATGGATTTTTACCCGATCATCATATTGGGGACCCGAACTTTTTCCTTGCGTCATGTGGGCGTTTTATGGGCTTCGTTCGCCCTTCTGGTTCTTTCCAAAGTGGGCTTGGACGGCCTGGTCCAACTGTGCTCGATTTCCGCCTTATTTCTCGGAAGGCTCTGTAAAGGAGGTCTCACATCAGATAAAGTAAATAGGGGGATTTAGAAACAAAATGCTTTGGAACAGCAGGGTCTACTTGCTAGTTAAAAGGAAGTTTCGTCCGGGAGAAAATAGGATTTCAAATGATTCTTCTGGTTTGTGGCATGCTACGCAGACTCACTTGGTAAAGAGCCTTCCCTGAAAGACCCCCCACAAAGGAGAGCTGAAGCTTCGAGATGAGTATGTCTCGGATTCATTCTCGTCCTGATCTACCATTGAATTTTTTGGAATCTACAAAAACATTCTAGGAGAGGGCTCGACGTGACAAATTCTATTTTTAATGGATGGTGCAAGTTTGTCAAATGCTCGACGAGCCGCTACATTAACTCGCATAAACCATGTTCGTCAACCAAGTTTGTTCAGTGGTCGTAACATAGTTGCTCAGTGGAGGGGCAGGGATTCAAACGAATTAGGCGGAGTCGTTCCGGAAGAACGAAAAGACAGAGAGGGAGAGGGATATACTCCTGTTCGTGCCAGTGAAGTGCCCTTGACTTCAATACCTGATAATTTTCAAACAATGATTATTGAGTAAAAATCAGCAAAAAATAAGATAAATGTTGTATCACTAAATGTAACTTTTAAGCCACATGATGGACCAAAATTTTGGGTTTTGCACTGCTCATGCCACATGTGGTTGGTTATGCTATATTGCTTTGTTTTGTTTAGAAATGAAATGCTATTGATCATTGCAACGATTTCTTTTCTTGTCCGTGTGGATTTATAAAATCCAACTTTGCAAAAAGGTACTAATATTTACAAGATCAAACTCAGGTTAACCTCACATTATTATCTTAATAATTGTTGCACATGATATGGAACAATTGTCATCATCAAATGACGTATACATTTCGCAAAAACTTAATCGTTAGAGACACATCGCATGCCTTAGTCTTGTTCAAAGAAATATATATATATATATATATATATATATATATATATATATATATATATATATATATATATATATATAATTTAGTTAAATTTATTATGAATGAATCTATATTAGTATTATTTTTAATATGGATTCAAGCTATGCCACAAATGGATTTAATTGAGAATAGAATTTCTTGGTTTTGACGTTAAGTTACAAAATGGACATATATACTCTAACAATATTAGTGTCTATGTCTTGACTTTGGAATGCATTAGAAAGATTTGCTTAGTGGGTTCGGAGTAAAATTCGCTAATGAAAAGTTCAATGGTTATTTTTCTTAACTCGTATTAGCAAGTTTAAGTAGTTTAGCCCAAAAAAAAAAAAAAAAACAACAACAACCTAGTTTCTTGAATTCAAATATGACGGTCCAAATTTGAATGATGTGGCACAATTTTAACGATCAAATGTCATCTTCAATCACTATAAACATCAACCTCACATCGTTATGAGGGATCCTAACTTTTGATCTCTAGCATAAAACCTTTGAACTCTCTTTCTCAATCTGCTTGGATTTTGACCATTCACCTACCAACCACTTAACTCGTGTCTTACTAGTAGTGTCTACTCCTCCTTCCATATCTCTCACTACTAGCATCTCTTCTACTTAGTTGGTCAATCGTTATTTCCATAAATTATTACACTATTTCTTTTTATATTGATTGGCCTATCGAATAGTTTTCCGATCAATTCTAAAAAACCCCTACATATTTTGGCAATTGCATTTGAGACTTGGTGATTGTAAAAGAATAATAGCTCTTGTCAAGACAATCAAGAAGAACACTAATCTTGTACCAACTCGCTTGTCTACAACAATGACGATGCCCTACCTAATCCTAATAATAATGGTGACAATGTTAGCTTGTTTAACATTGAGAATGACAACAGATCCTTCAAATCCTCTAGTTGGTAGTCTAGCTTGCCAACACTACTAGGAGGCAACCTATCTCAACCCATTGCTCAAGACCTTACCATAACTATTACACATTTAGGCTTTTAAGCCATGACCTAGGTTTTGAAGGTTTTTTAGAATGCTTAACTCATACTATAACAAGAACAATATCAAGTCTTCAAAGTCCTCCAAAACAAAAATGATGTATTTGCCTAAACTCTCAATAATATCACTTAGCTATTTTCTAGGGGTGGAATCCCCTAAACTATTGTCATCATCCTAATTTCCCCTATAAGAAAGAAAAGAGAGAGAGAGAGAGAGAGAGAGAGAGAGAGAGAGAGAAAACAACAGAAAAAGAAATTAGAAAAAAAAAGAGGTGGGCCTAGACATGCCTAGGAGTGCTAGCCTTTGGGCCTAATGAAGCCTAATCCAATTTAGAAAAAAAAATCTAAAAGGAAAACCTTAAACCGACCTAAGCAACACACTATATATAACTTACTCCATCTTTCTCTCACACACATAGAAAAACCCTAGCCTACTATAACCAAAAAAATACATAATAGTAGAAAGAGAAAAACAACTATCATTCATTATTTGGAGATACACTAGCAATATGAGCTAGAGCACCTTGATTGGTAGGAAAGGACGATTCCAACACCGGCAAACCGACCGACTTCTAACCATTGACAACCACCCACATGGGCCAAGTAGTTCTTACCTACCATTTGTCACGCTCCACGCTTCTCTATGGCAACTATCTTTTAGTCTTTTCCCATTCAATTTGGTTAATAATTCTTTTCTACTCTTACATTCTATTCGCTAATTCATTGATTGAGATATATAAGCTCACCTAATCCTTTTATGGTATAAATCTATTTAATTTTAGTGTGATGCATGAAAATTTTATTTTTATTTGCGACATAATATTGTTATTTATGTGGTCACTATAGATTTGGATGATTTTGGAAGCTTGAATTACATAATGTGGGTTCAATTAAAAATAAATCAATTAAAGGTTTATAATTGCATTTGAAATATTTGACAAGTTATGGATCGAATTTTATGGTCATGACATGTGTAAAATTTAAATTAATGGGGATTTAAGGTATGTAAATTTTGTTAGTATAGGTGCCCAAGATCAAACCTTGATTGGATGGTTTGAGTTATTGTAATATTGCATTATTTAATTTATCAATAATACAAAAAGTCTTTTTATTAATTCTTATTATTTATATTTATTTATTGAATAGAATTAGATAGAAGTCCATATGATATGCATTTACATTAATGATTGATCGAAAGATGTGAGACAAACATTAATGCACTTAAATGATATCATTAAATGTCTTAAGTCGTAGCATTGTTAAGAATAGACATTGACTATATGTGCTTAGACTTGTGAGTATTATGCTCATGCTATATGATAGCATTAGGAAATCTCACACCTATTGGCATGGTGATGCCAAAGCAAGCACTTAGGTGATTTATGTTAGAGAACATATCACTAGACTTGACTCTCCATGAGAGCCCATTTAGTTTAGTATATGAGAATCTCATATGAGATGGGTACAAATAGCCCTTTAACTTGAGTCATCACAGCTTACTCATTAGAGGATCTATATATTTTAACACTCTTTTCGATAGACCTATTAAAGGGTCGCACGTGGACTATTCGTTGGGTGCACTAGTAATCTAATGGAGATAGGTGGATAACTAGGATAAGACATGTCATTTCTTTTATACTAAAGTAATTATCATATTGCACTTCAATAAATATTTGTTAAAGAAATCTGTGGCCATGGTAGGAGTACACTAATAGAGCATAGTTGGTTTACTCTAAGAGCTAAGGCATTTGGGAATTGAAGAAAAATTGTGTGATCATAATCGAACAAACTAATAACCAAGTTCAAAATCACACTATGATAAATTAACATGAGGATTGAATTGTATGGTAACCATGCTCTTAAAAGGTAATTACAAATTAATTAATCCTCCTATAGAATTGGGTAGCTATGATATCTTATTAGAGGCCAATCTTGATTTATGTATCAAGAGATAAAAGAAGTGTCTTTTATTCTTGATACATTGCCAACATATCTAGAAGCCTATTGAGTCACACATATAAGTTTACGCATTCACATAATAAAAGAGAAGCAAAGATTTTGAAAAACATTTTGAATTTTAAAAGTTTTCTATTTTGAAAAAGGTTTTCTAAAATAGAAAGTTTTCTAAAATTCAAAGTCTTTTATTTTAGAAATTAGTTTCACAATTTGAAAGTTTTTTTCAAATTTAGAAGTAAGTTACCTAAAAAAAATTAGGTTCCTAATTTAGTTTGTCAAATGCTCGACGAGCCGCTACATTAACTCGCATAAACCATGTTCGTTAACCAAGTTTGGTAAGTGGTCATAACATAGTTGCTCGGTGGTGTGGCGGTGGATTCAAAAGAATTAGGCAGTAACCATTCCGAAAGAACGACAAGACATAGAGGAAGAGGGATATACCCCTGTTCGTGCTAGTGAAGTGCCCTCGACTTCAATACTCGATAATTTTCAAACAATGATTATGGAGTAAAAATCAACAAAAAATGAGATAAATGTTGTATCACGAAATGTAACTTTCAAGCCACATGATGGACCAAAATTTTGGGTTTTGTACTCGCTCATGCCACATGTGGTTCGTTATGCTATATTGCTTTATTTTGTTTAGAAATTAAATTAATGCTATTGATCATTACAATGATTTCTTTTCTTGTCGATGTGGATTTATAAAATCCAACTTTGCAAAAAGGTACTAATATTTACAAGATCAAACTCGAAGTTAACCTCACATTATAATCTTAATAATTGTTGCACATGATATGGAACAATTGTCATCATCAAATGACGTATACATTTGGCAAAAACTTAATCATTAGAGACACATTGCATGCCTTAGTCTTATTCAAAGAAATATATATTGTTGGTTGAGAATTATCATCAATTCCTACACCGTTTGGAAAAATTTCCTTAGGAACAAAATTACGGAGGGAATTCCGCCCTACTTTCGCTCTAAAAAACTTTATCTAACTCTATCTTTACAATGGAAAATGAACCTCCTATTTATAGAAAAGAAGACTATCTTGAATAGTGAATAGTAACTTTGAA